GTCAGTGAAACGTCGGAATGCTCGTGCTACATTCTGGAGACCGAATGGCATACGTTGGAATTCAAAAAGTTCGAAAGGCAGAATGACAGCCGTTTTCAAATATTTTCTGGTGCCATCTAGATTTGATTATGCCCTTTAACTAAGTCTGTTTTCCTAAGAATGGTTGCGCCAGATAATGTTGCCGTCAAGTCGTGTATTTGAGGCAAAGGGTAGTAATCAGGGGTTGTTTTGGCGTTCGCTCGCCGGTTCACCATTGTTACCTTCCTTCGGCAGCATATGAAGTGGGAATGCCTTTGAGCTATTCGACGTCCGAGTGATGCAAAGAGTGAGTATATGGTCGTATTCATTTATGGCTAGTCACAGTTCGTCGGGAGCCAGTCGTCATGCTTTAGATGTCACGGGCTCTATTGAGGTTGTGATGTAATACACACCACTAATGGTTATGCGTCATTAGTCGTTAGACGGGCAATTAAGTTCTGGGTGCTGAAAGATAGGGTCGAAAATCGCCTTCTTCTTAACCAATGATATGTAGTGACCTATGTAAGTGATGGCCTTAATAGACTGTGTAGCTGCACCGTCGTTTTCGGACGGCATCTACGAGGAGGCTATGAGAGTTTAGTAGATCTGTGTCAAAGATATGGATTGTGACGCCGCTGATAAGTCTGACTGTAGCACGCACTCCAGGATGAGAAAGTGACTGTAAATGTCCAAACAAATCTTTTCGGCATCTGAGCGGAATAAATGGGCAATTAGTGCCAGCAGATACATCGCAAACTATATTTGCGTCTGAAAAAGGAATAGGCACATCCTTGAACTGTAATGAAGAGTTTCCGTGACAAGTTAGGAGTTCAGCGTCGTCTCTTCGGAAGTGAGCCATACGGTCGAGGCTGATGTCTACTGAAGTTACGAAATGGTTTATGTCGCCTCTTAAAAGAGATTCAGCCACTACATTTGCGTCACCATTAATGTGCTTTATGTAAGTTGAAAATTGGGAAATATGGTCCAACTGTCTAGCCTCTCTAGGAGAGTGTTTATCCAGTGAAGTAGTGAAAGCATAGCAAAGGGGATTGTAGTCGGCAAAAATGGTGAAGTGCCGACCCTGTAGTAAGTAACTGGAATACTTGATCGCTAGATAGATAGCCGACAATTCTCGCCCAAGAGTGCTGTAACATGTCTGATCCGGTTCTAAATTCTTAGAAAAGAAATAAAGTGGGGTCGCCTCACCATTCAACTTCTGTTGTAGTACTGCCCTCAATACTACTTGTGAGGCATCTGTACACAGGATAACATATGCTTCGAGGTTTATGTGAGACAGCACAGCGACTTTGGACAAAGCGTCTTTAGCGCTACAGAAAGATTTGTGTGCTTGCACTGACCATTGGAACTTTTTAGGATGACTTTTAAGGAGATAGGTTAAAGGTTGTACTATGAAAGCACACGAAGGAATGAAACGTCGATAGACATTAAACATCCCTAAAATATTTCTGACTTTTTTGAATAAGTCTGGTCGAGGGAAGTTTTTGATTGTATCTATCTTTTCCACAGTAGGCTTGATGCCGTCTTCGGTTACGCAATGGGCAAAGTTAAACTTTAGACACCACTAACAACCAATCAGCAAACGACCTTGAATAGACCAGTCACATTAAAGAGGCATATATGATGAATGGAAATGTATATTTGTAGGAAAAATCATAAAATAGAGAATAAAAAAGTTACATGGGATATCTTTCTCGAGCATGTGAGAGAAAAATCTCCCAGTTTAGCATGGGACTGCCAATGGAGAAGTTACAACATATCCTGTACATATATTCATCCAAATGACCATAAATGAGATCCTTTTGAGATCCATTTATAGCCCTTATCCTATTTTTCAACCTGCCCCAAAATCCTTCAATAGAATTTGTATGTGTCCTCGTAACGGGATCCACAAAATCACTTGAATGGTTGACTCTATGATGAATATATCCCAGAGATGACAGTGAATTGTAGCCTTTCCACTCGTCGGTGTGTAAAATTGACCCCCGCTTAACAAGTCTGGTAATAATAGGTATAAGAGTAGTTGCTTTTCTATCTGCTATCCTTAGGGAGAGAAGCGACCTAGCGAAAAAAGTTCCTACGAAATATTAAAATTATCAGCTTAATCTCTCTAGCGTTAGTAGGCTTCAAACATATAGCACAACGATGAACAAACCCATCAGTTGATTTGGTATAGCTTTTTAAAGTCATGATACCACCACACAAACAAATTCGCTCTTTCCGGCGCAACTCAAATCCAGGAAATACTGGAAAACGCTAACCTCCTCGAATTGCAACAATAGCTTTGTAAGGTCACTCATTAGAAATGAATCAAGCGCTATAAAACATTGAACTGCGTTCGTGAACCTCATTGGATAATTCGATATCGTTCGTGAACCTCATTGGATAATTCGATATCGTTCGTGAATCTCATTGGATAATTCGCTGATTGGTAGTTAGTGGTGTCTAAAGTTTAACTTCGCCACGCAATGTCCTAGAAATTGAATAGAAGAGGCACCAAAAATGCACTTCTTAGGGTTTATGGCGACACCATATTGTTCAAAACGCTGAAGCAAAGTGCCAAGGTGATCCTTATGTTCCTTTTCTGACATCATCGATATAAACGAACACAAAATGAAGGCCCTAAATGACTTGGTGCATGAAACGCTGAAAAGACTGTGCAGCGATTTTCAGCCCGAATGGCATTCGTGGGAATTCAAACAAACCAAAAGGCGTTATAACAACCATCTTCTCAATGTCATCAGGAGCGACTGGTATCTGGTGATAAACTCTGACTAAATCCACTTAGGAGAAAATAGTCTTACCCTGCAGTGTCAGAGAGAAATCATACAAGTGGGGAATGGGATAACGATCTGGGACAGTAGCGTTATTCAAGTGTCGGTAATCCCCACACGGTCACCAGTCATGCTCAGCCTTTATTATCATATGTAAAGGTGAGGACCAGGGAATATTGAACGGTCGAATGATGCCCAATTGCATAATGTGTTCGAATTCAGCTTTGGCTGCTGCTAACTTATCGGGTGGTAGTCGACGAGGATGTGCATCTGACGTGTTGACCAGCTATGACGATTTTATGCGTGACAGAATGAGGGATATCTTTGATATTGTAAGATGGCTGTAAAATTTTAGGGAAACGTTGCAGTAATGCAGAAATCGCGCAGTCATCTGGCTTTTTGATGCAAATGTTATAATTGGGGTAGTCTGAGATTATTCCATGGATTTTAAGTTGGGTGCGGTTATCTGTCAGTTTTTCTTGTTGACATCCACCAACAGAATGAAATTACAGAAAAAGTCAGCAGGCAGTGTGGCATGACGAACTGCACCTACTATGAAAGTCCATGTAAAACGCCGGCGTAAGCCAAGGTCCAATATAAGTGATTGTGTTGCGTGCGTTGTCTGACTAAACTGCCGTACACATACATTCTAGTATTTCTTCGTTCTTATTCATGTGCGCAGACGTTGTGGCTACTCGACGCCCACAACGTAAATCAAAAGGCACTTGTGAAGATTACGAATGTGTATTGTAGCAGTAGTCAAATTCGAAATTGTGTCAAGGTAATATTCAACAGTAAAATGACAAATGTTTGCGAAGTACATATAAAATCGGTCTGTATACACATATAATACAAGTATACAAATTAGATTAAAAAGCATGTTTACAGTTGGTATAGGGGTACTACGATTGTCTGCCGTAAGTCCGTATGCTAGTTCGGTTAGCTGCTTAAGGTACTTTCTACAGTTGAATTTTGATTAAATAATTCTGTTATGTAGTACATGCTTTGCACCTAGAAACTTACCCTGTCTGTGTAGCTGCTTAACAACGCTGTTGAAGTAGTTTTGAGTTCCTGATATTATTATTGCTGAGTAGAAGTGTAACAACAGAAGACAAAGGCCAGGCAACAGATCGTTCATTAAGGATATCAACACGTATTCATAGATTTTCATGTAAATATTATAGATTATTGATAGAAGAAGTCTTCTGATTGGTTGTTTCTCATAGAAAGTTAACCTTGTGTCTCTTCGTGGCTGTTTCTTGAGTGTTAGATCATCTATATGTTAACTGTATCCGCCTACGCAAAGTCTTTGTTCTCATGTTTCTCACGGCCAATATTGGGGACACAAACATTGACCTAAATCACTGTCTACCAACTTTGGCTAGCAGCCAGCTCTCACCACAGAAGCACATAGATTTATTGCCTAATAGTCGCTTTTTGTCGTCTTTTTAGCGATTTTTTCTCTCAAGAAAGTTTCAGATAGCTATACAGTAGAACGAAGAGATGAGTTCTCTGATTTCAGATCACAGTGAGTCGGTTTTGGTTGTTACAAAGTTCTGTAGACCTCATGATTAAAAATAACAACGTGGGTCCTGAGATTAGCCATAGATAAGATAGATTATTTGAATGTTAATTTCCAAATACAAAATAGTAATATGTCTCTGTGTCGAAACTCGATAAGACAAGGGCTTTTGAAACCTAACACAACAAGAGTACTCGAAAATATCTATGTTCCCACATTCCCATTTCTATCATAGCCAAAGAACAAGCCAAAATAAACAATGCAGAGTAATTTGTCTATAAAGATAGGGTATTCCAAACATATTGAATATAATAGACTATCGAATATAGAAAACTCAGTAGTAAGATGCAGGATATATGCATATGCGCACATACAAGGTCACAATTTTATGAATTCACTTCCATTCACGTTTGACTTCAGCTAAATTGTTCATTAGTCAAGTTACATATTAACTTAATAATTCCTTGAATGACTATACTGTGAATCTATCGCTTTGTCATCTGTCAACACTTTGTCATATCGAAAGAACCTAAAACCCTAATGTACAGGCGTGCATAAGGCTGTGAAAGCCACCTGAAGTATCCACAAACGACCATTTGTGCTTGTCAATAAATATTAAATTCAATTCACTATGGCCGGTTTAACTCAATAAGATAAGAAAAAAATGCACTGTTTACACATCATCGTTTTTATTGACCATTGGTCTAAAGTATGCATAGCTCATAAACGCCAATAAAATTATATGGTGAGATAAAATAAAGACTGACGGTTGAGGAGAAATTCACCGACGGAAGACTGTCAGCGAGATTCCTTCACCGTCTTCGTCACCTTCTTCGTAGTTGTCACATCTGATGAACCACCTCCTACGCTCGGTGCTCTCTCATTCGGACACGCCCAATGAACCACCTTCTTCACCAGTTTCTTCAATGTTGGCGGCAAAATGTTGAACATCTTATCCAGAACTGCAGCGAATCAAGAGAATGTGTGTGAGAGTGATAACGTGTGATGTTTGGATATCATGTGATGCATTGTGACGAGTATTTTGTATTGCGTTTCAGCATTGTTTCCATCAGCCGAGAGAGAGACAGAGAGAGAGAGAGACGAGAGGGTTGGCGAGAAATGAAGAAAGACAGATTATCATCATTATCATCATCATCATCATCATCATCAAATGATCATGTTGATCATCATAGACATGAATTCTACTGTGAACAAATCTCGTGAACTTACTCAGGCCTTGTGTTTGACTGACGAGAACGGTTAAGCAGACGAGGAGGAAGATGCACTGATAGAATTTTGAGAGTGAATTAATTAGTCAATGTTGATTTTGTCACTCACCTTCATTTCGCCTTGATGTGTATAGAGGTGACTGGAAGTAATGTTCTCACCGCAGTGTTTGCCATTTTATAGTGTTGAATGTGTAGTGCGATTTGCACTTTGTCTATAATCGATGTAGTGTCACTTGTCAGGTGAGTGACATTTTGATTTGGTTTGAGAATTGGGGTGTAATGTGAGTGAACATGACAGGATCGTAAATTGACTGTACTGCTGTTCAATATACTTGAACTGTTGCATATTGATCCACTGTACTTTTCATTTTCATTTGGTATTTTTTCTGGTATTTTTTATCATAATTTTTCAGATTCCTTTCAGTTTCCACAATGACAGCTAATAATTTAGTGATAATATTCTCACTCACCTAGTCTTTATTTCTGACAAGGCATTTTGTCGGTATTTATGGTAACATCAGTTTCGTTTTTCTTACTATATGTTCGTGTTTCTATACTTTCATATTGTATTCAACTATGTAAAGTACTGTTTAAATATCTATGTCAACTTCAGAAGGTACATAACTTTCCACCTTCAAACTTATGAATGTTGTGGAAAGCTGCTCACATTTTGGTGACTATTTAATTTAGAAAAACACATTTAAGCGAACATTATTGTTTTCAGTTAGTTCTTATCAGGCTTTACTCTAATATATATGTTTACAAATAACATTCAAATATAAATACAAAACAATCATAGTGTTTTGTCTATCGGATAATACGATGGTGAATATGAATTGTGCAATTAGTCATAATAGCAGTAATGATAATAACAATAATAATAATAATAATGGTCTTATCAATAATAAGGATGAAAAATTGAGGCAATCTGTGATAACACGAATAATGAAAAAAACAGCACGATTAAACAAACAAACAATTGTTCAGGTGGAATTCGTCGATAAAGGCTAGTAAAAACCAATGAACCGATTAAGTAATGTTAGATTGTAAGAGAAGGAAATGAAACACGTTTATAATAAAGATAAGATTAAGGGATGATAAGAAAGGGGTTGAAAATATAAACAAGGGGTGGTGTAGAAGTCTTTAGTTGGTTATGTCTTAATAACGGACTTTTTTGAATGCATAGTTTAGGTTTAATAGTTCTAATGCTTATCACATCAGCTGTGTGCAGTAGACGAATATGAAGTCTATTAGAAAGATTCGGCGGGATACGACGAATTACTTTGAAGGCTCTCGTTTCCTCGACTACATGACCACTATCAATTAAATGTGATAGAATTGAGCTATGAATTGTTTTGGTCTGTCCTTTGCCAAACCACGATGGGAGATGTTCACTAACACGTTGGCTAAGCTGTTTAGTAGTAGTGTGCCCAACATAACTGTCACCGCAGATGCAGTTTAATTGATAGATACACATAGATGTGGCAAAACTACCAAGCTTATCCTTCGTTTGCGTCCCACTCATTCGTTGGGTAGAGAATAACAAATATAGGTGTGCTGCGTAAAATGTTCTTCGTATACTCCTTGAAAGTCTTTGGAATAGAATCTCACTAGATAAGTCACTATTAAATTGTAACTTAATAAATATAGGTTTCTTACGTGCAGTCAGAGTCTCAGGTTTTTTCTGATGTTTTAATATGTTTCTTTATGAAACTACTCGGATAGCCCATCTCCAAATGAATGCTCTTCAATGGATGAAATTTGTATTCGTACATAAACATTCCGTGTCATAGACTAGTCTGCAGCAAATCAGCTAGTTTTTGGGCTCAGCACAATCATGCTGTTGTCGTCCTTTTATTCAACAATCAAACCATGCCTATTTATACCGGAAGTTGAGGCGATTATTTACGGATAATTTTTGATCTCTTCATGGATTTACTTGCATTCGGTTGCGACGTTATGGACATACTTCTCAAATTCAATTAAGTAAGCATAATTTTAGAAGTAAAGGTTCATCTTTCATTAAATAACAGGCAAAAATAGAGGCCTCAGTAGTTTGGGCAAGTTTTAAGCATTTCATCGTATGGGCTACTCTACTGTTTTTCCGTTCTATACATGGAATTTATTTAGAAGAAAACGGAAAGGTGAGAAGCCCATGACTTGATGAAATTAAATGAAGGATAGTCGTTTTGAGTTAACATCTGTTAATGAATCACAATCTCTTGAGTAAAGCATAAGAACTCATGTGTCATTCAGCTTCCAGACTCTTCTCAGACAAGTTTCAAAATGGAAGTAACTGACTGTCATTTTACGACTTCCTGGACGATGATAATACAAATATCCCAAAGGTGAATATCGTTTCCCAAAAACGTTGTTGGAGGTCAGCACACACGACAAGTGAAGCTTCAGCTCCCTAACAGATGCTATTCTAACTTCCATCTTTTCAGAAATAATGGAAACAAAAGACAACATTGCACGTTTTTTATGAAAATTCTCTATTACTATTATTACAATCGTAGAAGACAAATCTCACACGTTTAAATCAACAAAAAAGTGTTTAAACCTGTCAAGTGTTTTTTATAATGGTTTGCGGGCTGGTAAATGAAAAACGCTTGCAGTAGAACTTTAGAGAAATTCGTAATCACTTTAAAAGATCACTTCAGGAAGCAATAACACAGTACCGATAAACTTTCATGGATCCAAAATATTTATTCAATGAACAATGAGAATAAGGATTGGTTAATTTTTGCAATGAGCTCACATGTCAATGTAGGCTTAGAATCTTTGTTTAATCCGAAATAAATGAATCTGATAATAAAACACAGACGTATTCAATATTCTTCAAATATAATTCGATGTAATGCGCAAATATTCAACTAGATTCAAGTACACAAAAAATTCCCGTTAGGACACGTTGAGAAGGAAGACAGGTGATTCAACGAAAAGACTCGTTTCAGAAGATTAAATTAACTGAATTTCCTCAAAAAGTTTCTTTTCTAAGTCGTTTATATGTACCGTTGCACCTGGAAAAAGAATAGAATTTGGGGACTGTTTTATTTTTATTCAAATGGGTTTTGGTTGGAATATATGGCTTCCATGTGAATCCATTATGGTCCACATGCTTTCGTATCCTCCTCACACGATCTCCTCCATGTCACTCTCAAACCTACGTACAACGCATCATTTCTGATTCGCGTACCACCTGGGAAGCTGTCTGGATCTGATATCACTGAACAGTCTCCTCAGTTTGTCTCCAATCCATCAAAATTTTCTTCTAAATATTTGTTGTACGGATAAATACTGTATTCGAGCAATCAGGAACGCATTGTTCAACTTCGGTCTCTTCAAAAACCAACACTAGTTAGACATCATTGAAAAACAAAGACTACTGATCACCTGCTTTATTCCAGTACAGTACTCTTCATCGGTGCGTACCCATGATCCCACTAACAATAAAGCCTGGCACTATTAGGTTGCGAAGTTAACCACGTTAACCATTCAGCTACTTGGGCCTGCATTCAGTGATGCGTGAATTCTAAGTTATTTGAGCGTGGACCGGTGAAGAGTACCAAGCTGGGGCGAAAAGGTTATCCAGTTTCCCTTGGTTTTCAATGATCTACATTTAAATTAATTTACATTTCTACGAAATGCATCAGGTTACGATAAGAAAGAATAAAATGTGAACTTCAGTGATTTGATACAGAGCCAAAGGAAATAAATAGAATAGTTCATACATAAATCGAATAAAATAATTTGAATTTAGCCATGTGATATCTATTTGGTGAATGAACAAAACAAACAATGCAAGGTTATAAGCAAGCAAATAAGCCAGATGAGTGCGAAAGAATATAATTTCAAGAAGAAAATATCATAAATAGGTCAAGTATACTGGATAACACCAAGGTCAATTTACGATCCTGTCATATTCACTCACATTACACCCCAATTCTCAAACAAAATCAAAATGTCACTCACTCAACAGCCACTCACCTGACAAGTGACACTACATCGATTATAGACAAAGTACAAATCGCACTACACATTCAACACTATAAAATGGCAAACACTGCGGTGAGAACATTACTTCCAGTCACCTCTATACACATCAAGGCGAAATGAAGGTGAGTGACAAAATCAACATTGACTAATTAATTCACTCTCAAAATTCTATCAGTGCATCTTCCTCCTCGTCTGCTTAACCGTTCTCGTCAGTCAAACACAAGGCCTGAGTAAGTTCACGAGATTTGTTCACAGTAGAATTCATGTCTATGATGATCAACATGATCATTTGATGATGATGATTATGATGATGATAATGATGATGATCTGTCTTTCTTCATTTCTCGCCAACCCTCTCGTCTCTCTCTCTCTCGGCTGATGGAAACAATGCTGAAACGCAATACAAAATACTCGTCACAATGCATCACATGATATCCAAACATCACACGTTATCACTCTCACACACATTCTCTTGATTCGCTGCAGTTCTGGATAAGATGTTCAACATTTTGCCGCCAACATTGAAGAAACTGGTGAAGAAGGTGGTTCATTGGGCGTGTCCGAATGAGAGAGCACCGAGCGTAGGAGGTGGTTCATCAGATGTGACAACTACGAAGAAGGTGACGAAGACGGTGAAAGAGGCACGCAAATAGTCATTTGCCAGTGAAGATACAAGGATCCACCTATATATGACATGGATCACTAGAAATTTGTTTTTGTGACGATTATGAGCTGTGTCAATTCTAGAATGTTTTTAATAAGAGTAGTTGAATGCCTGGAGTACCTTGTGTTCTTTTCTAAACATGTCAGACAGGACTTGTTGGTTGTGATTAATTGTTTTCTGAGTTTGCTCAACTGAGACGCAGATAATTTCGTATATATGTATGTATATATTTCATCTCGATGACCCTTTTCTACCTACTGTTGTTCATTGAAATTTAGGCATGTGTGAAATGATTTTTACTTCATTTCAGTTCATCGCATGTGTGTGTGATCTCATGCATAAATGTAGTACAAAAATAACGCGTCATGTCTGAGAGTAAATCATCAACAATAAGACGGAATACGTAGTGATGAATGTTCATGAATAAAATTCGAACTAATTATCAGTAGGTCTCATAACCAACTTTTTCATGAATGAATAGTAACATAAGAAACTTTGAGGCACGATGGATTAGAAGGTTGTATATTCTTGTCTGTACTGAGGTGAAAGTGAAATATTAATAATAATAATAATAATAACAGCTTTATTCCAAACAGTATTTGTGGTACAGGTATGGAATTTTCAGCGTGCATTACAGTATATTGCATCTAATTACCTCATAAATTATATAAGATTTTTAAAAATCAAAGATAAATAAATAAAAATAAAATAAATAAGTTATAAATAAATAAAATAAATAAATATTAAAAATTAAGAAAAAAACAGCGTAGAGTATTTCATTTCAAACAATGCACCACAGGATTTGAAATATAAAGTTGATGTGTGGTAGTAGATGAGAACAACAGTGTAGTAGTAACGAGGAAAGGAAAACAAAAACTAATGAGACTATTTGTTAGAGTGCCGCAGTAAGTTTATCGTGTCATACCTAACGGATTTCTCATCACATAACAGCTGTGCCAGATATGGTATTGTGGAGTTTTTGTATTTGGTAGTCCTAGCATATAGCCTCCTATAGCTGCTTCTAGTTCTTCCAGATGAAATGCAAGGAGATAGATGCGTATAGAGAGGATGCTTGGGGTCCGACAATATTGTATTCGCTAGTTTCTTACATGACATAATATGTCTATCTACAATAGTGTTCACCAGTTGGTTTAACGATATCCCACTTGCCCTACTAACAGCTTTTAGTGCCCTTCTCAGCGAAGCAAAGTCTTTCTTAAGTAGTCCAGGAAAGACTAATGGGGAGCAGTAAAGGAGGATGGGTAGAATACAAGAATTTACAAACTGAGAAAGTAAAGACTGGTTTATGCCAGACTGCCTAAATTTCCTAATGTAGAACGTTAAGCGAAACATCTTTCTAGTAACTAGCAAGATGTGGGAAGACCAGGAAAGATCGGTGGAAAAACTCAGCCCAAGGTACTTGACATTAGATGTATTTTCAACCTCTGTGCCGTCAATGAGAGTGGGGCCATGTGAGCTAACTAGTTGCTGTAGGTCACATTTACGTCTGAAAGTGAAATTGACTACCTGACATTTAGACGGATTAAGCTTAAGTCCGTTTGAAGAGGACCACTGACTAATTTCCGACAGAAAGCTATTTAATTTGGAACAATCTGACTGAGAGTTGACAGGCATAGAAACCGAGAGGTCATCGGCATATTTAACAAAAGTGGCTACATCAGAATGAGGCAAGTCATGTAAGAAAAACGAGAACAGAAAGGGAGAAAGAACAGCACCTTGAGGAACACCAGCTAAAGTAAGTGAGGTAGTGGAGGATTTTCCATTGTAGACGGTGTACTGCTTCCTTTCAGAAAAATAGGAATGCAACCACTTATTTGTCCAGCTTTCAGCCTGTGTTGCAGCAAGCTTACTTAGCAAGAGAGACCTGGGAACAGAGTCAAATGCAGATGTGTAATCAAGGAAGGCACAGCGAACGTATTTAGCTCCTTTATCTAAACTAGAGACTATGCTATGGTGGAGGACGACAGCGGCATCTAACGTACTCCTACTATGTTTATAAGCAAACTGGTTGGGGTCGTTGAAAGGTTTTAAAGAGGGATCAAGATTAAGTAAAATAAGTCTTTCCATAACTTTCAAAAAGGGTGAGGTAATTGAAATGGGTCTAAACTTAACATTAGGTCCACTTGTAGATTTAGGCACTGGAACGATCTTGATGTTTTTCCATGATTCAGGTATAATACTTTTGGAAAACGATTCGTTGAAAATGTCAGTTAGCGGGGAACACAAGATGTCGGCACATTCTTAAGGATAACAGCAGGAACACCATCAGGACCGAGGGACTGAGTAGGCTTGAGAGATTGAAGACACTTGAGGACATCATTCGTGTTTAAGCATGAGAAGCAGTCATTGTTTACACTATTTGAGTTAGGAATCATAACATTTGCTGGGATACATATGAAGGATTCATTAAGCATGTTAACATCTACAGAAATATCATTCAACATTTGCTTACCACCTGTGATTTCCTTTAATAACTTCCACATATTTGATGGGGATTTACATGAAAGAAACTTCTGGTTATAGAGAGCATTCAATCTTTGTAATTCAAGCTTAATCAAAGTGTTCATTCTCTTAACACCAGATTTGTTTTTCATTTTGAACAACCTTTCTTTTTCACGGCGGAGCTTTTTGAGTTGAGAAGAGGAGAAGCGATCGAATTTTAAGAAGATTGTCTCTTTTGGACAACAAACATCAAGACAGAAATTAAGATAATGTGTTATGTTGGCAATTGTGTTATCAAGAGCTTGTTCAGTAAATAGATCCCAGTTTGTGTCTTTTAACATGGACCTTAGGTTCAGTATGTTGTCATGGGAATAACATCTGTGTTGTGTTTTCTTTCCAAGGTATGAGAAGACCCTTTTGTGCTGCTTTCCATATACTTTGGGCAATATTCTTATGATACAGTGATCTGAATTTAGTAGTGGGGCTCTTTTTCGAGCTTCAAATATTCCTGCATCGTTTGTAAACACAAGGTCAAGAGTGTTGTCCATTCTAGTCGGGAAGTTGACAATATTATCGTGTCCCAGTGAAATTAGGAAGCTGTGGTCACTAGAATTAAAATCACCAGTAACTATAGACAAGGAATTTCCGAAGGAGGTGGCAGCAAGGGAAGTAAATTCATCCGCAAATAAAGATAATTCTGTGGAGTTGCATCCAGGAGCAATATACATGTTCGAGATGTAAATGTAGTTGTATTTTGACAAATGTTTAGGTCGACACTTAACGGTGAGACAGTCAATATTGTCACTAGAGAATTTGAAACATACATTATTAGACGTACACCATTGTGAATTGATGAAGATGGCGACACCGCCACCGCGTTTCTTCCTGGAACTACACCGATCTTGTCTGAATAGTTTGAAATTATTTAGATACACTAGATTGTCATCATATAGATCATGAAGCCATGTTTCTTGAAGTGATATGATCCCAGTATTATGATATATAATGGAAGACACCAGCGATTGAAGACAGTTAATTTTAGCCGGCAGGGAGCGACAATTGGTACTCATAATTGCGGGAACAGTCATGAATTGAATAGGGGTATTTTTTAATGCTCTCTGCCAGCCGGCATGATGCTTTTTCTTGTCTTTTTTATGGAGTTGCAGATCAGTAGGTTTTAAAGATATTAGATATTCACGAGAATAAATAATCCGATTTGAGGTCATATTTGAATAAGATTTATTGATTAAAATATCAATTAGAAATGAGAAATTAGATGCAATATGATTTGTAATGTTTAAGGTAATTGGTAGCCCAAGATTTAAGCAGGCCGCCAAGGTCATTATATCATAATTGTTCCCATGGTTTCCAAACGAAACATGAGGCATCAGCAATACATCTCCACTTCGTCCTATTCTCCGTGATCCTCTTTAGCTGGCCACATTATCACCCATGATCTCTCATCCCTCCCTCCTCGTACGATCTGCTCCATTTCACCCTCGAGCACCCCTCTCTTCTTTTCGCATTCAGGCTGCCGTTGAGCGATGGCCTGGTTCGTGATATCTTCCGGCGGTCTCTTCAGCATATGTCATTCACCTCCATTTGCTTCGAAGTATTTCTTGAGGAATTGGTTCTTGATTAGTGTTTTGCCATATTTTTAGTGATAATTCGTTCTGGCTGGCCATCTGATCTTCACGATGTAGCCAGCGAAGGCAGCTGTTAATAAAACTCTTCAAAGGCCTGTTAGAAAATTTTTTCATGGCGCGGTGGCTGTGTTTCTGACGCATACTGAAGAGCTAACTGACTCAACATTAATAATAATAATAATTTACTTTATTCCATAACAGTACTTGTGATACAGAATAAAATTCCCTGCATTTTACTACAGTACTGCATCCAGTTAGTACATTATCAATAAAGAAAGTTCTACATAGATTAAGGAAATCTCAGTTCATTATGACAACAACATATTGCCATGTCGGTAGCAAAGTCAAAAATTGAACAAAGTGTTTGAAGGTGTTAGAAAAGTAGACGCTTGCATATTTACTGGTGTAAGCGGAAGAAAGAAACAAACCAGCACATAACAGAAAAAGAAAGAGAGAGAGGAAAGGAAGAGAAAGAAAGAAAACGTAGCTATAAATGATATGAATTGGAAAGACAAGATCCACTTGTTCTACTGACTATTTAATAAGTTGTAGGCATCACGCCTAATGCTTTCTTTATCGCACAGAACACCAGCTAAGTAGGTTATGGTTGAGTTTTTGTACTTGCTAGTGCGAGCATATAGTTTTCTATATAGGCTTCTGGTTTTGCCTGAAAAGATACAAGGGGAGAGTTGTGAATGAAGAGGGTGTTGTGAGTTGGATAGAATGGATTTTGCCCATTTTTAACATGAGTCCATGTGCCTGTCAACCAGAATATTAACAAGCTGGTTGGTCAAGTTACACGTTGCCTACCCTGCTGACAACCTTCAACACCCTACTTAATAAGATGTAGTCTTTCTTCAGTAGCCCTGGAAAAACTAAGGGGGAACAATAGAGAATAATAGGAAGGATGCGAGAGTTAACGAATTGTAGGAGTAAGGGTTGGGTTATACCAGAATGTCTCAACTTCTTGATGTAGAAGGTAAGACGGAATATTTTCTTAGAAATCATCAAGATTTGAGACAACCAGGAAAGATCAGCAGATAGAATGATGCCTAGGTATTTAATTTCAAACTTGGTTTCTATTTCAGT